TTTTTGCTTATGATTGGAGTATTTATTTGTAATCCAATAATTTCTTAAAACCAGCTCAGAGGAGGATGTGAGGGGGAGTTTGAAGAGGTATTGAGTGGGTTGCAAAAACACTTTATTCTTTTGCTAAAATGCTGTTCTCCAATGCAGCTGCTTTTGAATCCAAAATCAGTCCATTATCCAGTCTATTGGCTCCCGGTAACACAATAATTGCCCCACAGAAATGGGCTGGCCAGTCTCAAAAAACCTCATTTACCACCAGGACTCAGGGAAGGAATACAGGAATTCCACAGGGATAATAATGTATTTTTGACAGATAGTAATAACTATTGGCATCAGGCTGTGCCTGAAGACAAAGAGTGTTTGTTTTTCATCAGCGAGGTTTTATGATTAGAGCTGCAATGTTTTTCCTTAAAAATTACCTTCTGCTGCCAATAAAAGGAATCAGACTCCCATTCTTAATATTTTTTTTTTTTTTTGGTGGCTGTTGTTGCTCCCAGTTTGGTTCCAGTTGAGAAGGTTTGCTCTCATTAATGTCCCCCTAATCCTCTAAACACTACGTCCAGTTCCCCAGCTGGGGGGGGCAGCGTGGGTTGGCGTGGGGGGGGATTGGTGTCCCCTTCTTTGAATTTAGAGGGAATCTAATGTTAGAGACAGTCCCTGGGCCTTGGGCGAAGGTTTCTCTGCCCAGCAAAGCCGTGGGGTGATATTTGCACTTACTGCGGGGGTGATGGCAGCCCAAACACAGGCTTTTTTAGCTGCCTTTTGAAAACCGCATCTGGAGAGTCCCCGTGAGTCAGCCCACAGGTGAGTTCGAAAGGTAGAAGGAAAAATAAATATCCCTCTCCTGCCAAACGCATTCAATAATTGAATAAAGCACTGTAAAAATGTGTGTTTTCATTCACTTGTAATTGCCCTTGTGTCCTGCGGAGAGGCAGTAACATGAGAACCGTGCGCGCAAAGGAGAGCTTGTAGAAAAACACAAAATGGGAAAATCGGAGAACAAACACTAAAAAAATCCTCTTCGGGGAAGGAGAGGAAAGCGAAGGAGGAAAGAAACTTGGGACTGGAAATTCAGTTCTCTCTAATGGATTTCAAGTCTTCGTTTTTGGCAACCGAAATTTAATTGACTGTTCTCTAGCCCCTATGCAGAGGAGACAGGAGCAGGCAGAAATTGGTGCAGAGTGGATTTAAAAGCTTCGGTGCCACAATTACTCTGTCAAGGAGAGCAGGGAGGTGTAGGGCTGAGTGAGATGAGCCCAGCAGGAAAAGTGGTTTATTATGGTGCTGAGCACGACCAGTGCCTCCGGGCACGAGTAATTCCCATGCGAGGAGCAGAAAGGAGCTGAGCATCACCCAGGCCTATCACCCCGACATGAAAACGAGATGAAATTTAATTACTGGCTTTCTCCTTGAGTTCACAGCTGTGAATCCCCTCTCTGCCTGCCATCGTTCCCCTGGGGTTTCTGATCTTTCCTCCTTGTGATGGACATGCACAGGGAGGCTGGAGAGCCATGGGCTGCATCGCTGCTCCCACCCCTCACCTAAAAGCAACTGCAGCATCTCACGACCGCTGCTGGACATGGGGGATGCTACGGGCATGGCCCTGGCTCTAGTCCCCCTACCAGTAGGGTCTGCATGGCCAGGGACAACCTCACTGGGGCACCAGGCTGAAAGCAGGGGACCATCAGCAGGTTCCAGCATGGGGAGAGCCAGAAGCATGTTCCTCCCCTCCTTCCTATTCTGCATGGCTGTCCCACCCCACAAGGACAGCCCGTCACAGATGTTTGAAGAAAACCTTTGGAAGAACATACCTGTGTGCCTCCAAGTCCAGGTGCGGTTCGGTGCCCGGCTGCTCACCTAAATTCTGCCAAATTATTCATGCTGGATAAGTAGATGTTAATGACTCGGCTTAAGTTACTTTAGACTGACACAAAAAATTTGGTCAGATAGTTTTCCACCCACCTGAAATGTGCTCTGAACGTTCGTGAAAGATTCTTCTGTCACATAAGTGAAAGCAATCAGGCATCTGTGGGTGCTAACGAAGCAGCTGTGCCAGGGCTTAACCGAGCCACCCAGGGCTCACCTCCCCTCGCTGCTGGTGAGCTTTCTGCTTCCCTTCTTTGTGGTGGGTCTCTTTTTCTTCAGCCCCATTTGGTCTGTGGTTGATCATCATGGGGTAGGCAAGAAAACGAAGGGCAAAAGCTGCCTTTGCCAGGCTGGTTCTGAGCACCCTTCATCATTTCTGCCATTTGCTCACTACACCCCAGCTTTGCAGTTTTAGTCAAACTTCCCTGAGGAGCATGTTCTTCCCTCTTCTGACCCCTTTTCTACAGAGAAAACAGCCTTCCTCTGGTCACACAGTCCCTTTTTTCTGCTCTCCCACGAGTAGTTTTTTTGGTCTGCATTTTCAGGTGATGTTGTTTTTAGCACAGATCATCTCAGACCAAAGGTGGCCAAGAAAACACAGGGTTTCAGGAAAAAGGTCCTACTGTAAAAGCGGCTGCTCTGTGCCTCCAAACTCTGCATGAGGGAAACCTTAGAAAGCCCATCTGCCTTAACGGTTCACAGATCACCCAGCCCTTGTTAATGCAGGGCTCCTTAATTAGCGTGGCTTTTGCTGTAGGCTGCCAAGCAGGATGCCACCCAGAGCACTTATGTTACTGGGAACATCTTGAGCCTGGTGGGACTTCTCCACCAGCTCCCCTTTGTGCTCCCTCAAGTGCTCACTGGGCAGGAGGACTCACTCCCAGCCCTCAGGTGGGAGCCCCCTGTGAGAAGGATAAAAAGACTCCTCCTTTGACTTGCAACAGCACCTCCAGAGCTCTTTGATAAAGTCTGCCCAAGGTTTACTGAGCAGGAGAACACAGGAATCACTGGTGTCCACCTCTGCAGTTACTTCACCAGGGAATGCAAGTGATGTATCTCAACACCTCACCCATTTGAGCCAAGTTCTTTTAAAGTAAAATCCCACCAGTCGGGAATATTTGGCTTGGCAGGATCCCTGCTGCAAGCTGTGGCTCTGAGAAAGGCAGGACACACCACTGCATTCCTGCTTGAGACCAGCTCAGGAGAACACCCGGGACACGTGCCTCGTGGGGGCCAAATGGCATTTACTGGCATCCTCCTCTGGATCTGGAGGCTTGTCAAGCTGGCGGCCCATGTGCTTTGCATGCCTTTGTACAGCTTTGCATCCCAGCTGGAGATGTTCCTCCTGGAGGCAGCTGAGGTGAGGACCGTCTGAACCCCAGCATCTTAATATGCTGCCAGCCCCTCTGCAAATTGTGGCTGAGGCACCAGGAGATGAGATGAGGAGAGGTAGGAGCCAGCCTTGTTCTGACCACCTAGGTGTTGGTTTTCAACCCCACACTTCTCTCCTTGCATGGGTTATGTTCTTCCTGCCAGCTCAGCCCCACAGATGTCTGCTTTTTTAGCACAGTGTGGAAAACAAGAATCCCAAGTACTTTGAGGGGAACACGGTTTATCATCGCTCCTTGTGCATCGGCCAAAAGGGAGGCGAGACCAGACAACACAAACGCTCTGAGGCAAGGAGCAGAGCGGGGTGGAAACCTCTTGTTCACAGGGAGCTCCTGGTTCAGGTGTAAGAGCCTGCTTTGCATGGGAGTGGTTACCCCCAGGGACTTCTCCAGAAGAGCAGACCCTTGAGGTAGGGCCAAACCCACCCACGCCTTACCTACTGCAGCATGCCCAGTCCTCAGACACCTGAGAATGAGAAGTTCTGGATGGTTACAGCCCCCAAAACCCGGAATCACTCCAAGGTGAGGGAAGGCACGCTCTGAATTCCCATCCCTACGGTATGGAAGAGGCTGCTCTCCCAACACACACACACCTCTGGGGCTCTCCTTCAAGCACAGTCCTCCTGCAGAGCACCAGTAGCCCTGGGCAAGCTGCTGGGCTCTCAGCCCAGGTCCTAGGACATGCCTCACCCATGGGAGGGCTGGGTTCCTCCTGAGCCCACAGCACACCCACCTGCACCATCCACCTCTGGTTTTACCAGGGCTCGGTGCAGGCAGAGACATAAAAATCTCTGACTCCTCAGAGATGTTCAGTAAAGCTGGTTCTTCTCAGAGCAGCAGCAAATTAATCTCACTGTGAAATTGGGGTGTATTATTTCAAACATCCAGGAAAACAGAGGCTCCACACACCCAAGGAGATTCATGGAAAAGACTTCACTGGAAACTACACACACCAAATAACCTCTATGGATGCTATGGTTTTGCATTCACTGATGACTGACTGGTTCTTCTGGGCCTTGATTCCAAAGACCTTCTTTATCCACACCTATTGTATTGTGTTAATGGCAGAGGAACAGCTGGGGATGCAGGACTGCACCCAACAGCATCGCGTGTGGGTATTCGTCACACCAGGAAAGAGCTACAGCAGTACAAGCACCTATAAAGCCCCAGAGAGTTTGGACAAGTATAATAGCTTTAATTAGAAGAGAAAATCATCGCATCCTTCACTCTAATAATTATTTTAAAGAACAGACCAAGTGTAAGGGCATGAACAGACTTAACGAGTAGTAATTACTAGGCTTAAAGAATGACTGCTCCTCAATGAAGCTTCAGGAATGGGAGCTCCTTGGGCATGGTTTATGAGATCTCTGCCTCCTCCCTGTCGGACAAACCCTGCCTGGGATTTGACCTTTCTGAGGAAGATTAAACCTTCACAACAAGTACCAGCTGATGTCCCCCCGGTCAGGGCAGGCCAATTGTCTCCAGCAGCTTCTGTTTAAGCTGTTCCTACCCCATTTCCCACACCAAGGTCACGAGGATGACAGCATCTGCTTTGAAAAGTCCCACCTTCCCCTGCCAGACGTGCCCCTCCACCGGACCCCACAGTCAGCACCCACATCCCAGTCCCCATCCCCAGGGATGCCCCAAGGGTGGGCAGGGGGCTGGGGGTCCCACTCGCCTGGCTGCCCGACAGCCAGACCTGATGGCAGGAGGGAAGAGGAATCAAAACTCATCGAGCCTCGTCACCTCTGGCTCCGAAATTTATTTAACACACAGCATTCGAGAGCACCAGGCCTGGGAGGAATGTGGGGCACACACACACACCCCTTGTTTAACAAAGAAGGCAGGAGCTTCAGCTACTGCTTTATTTGAGTACAGACATCACCCCAAAAAAACAACAACAGGAACAACTCTACTTCAGAATTACAGTGGTAACAACACAGAATTTACAAAAATATAAATAACCTATTCGTAACCTTAAAGAAAAATAACATCCAACATAAAAAATATCATGTAGTCCCCTAGGTAAACCATGGCTACAGAAATGTATCTTTTTTTTAAAAAAAAAAAAAGCACCAGTCTGCATTATTAAGTAATCCAAAACACATAGGGAATTTCCCCCTAATACTTGCAGACTTTTCTGAGAAATGTGCCCAGATCATTAAAACCAAGCCTTCTTCAGTATTGCTTGCTTCTCTAAGAGCATATTGAAGGTACAATTCTTAGAAGCACCCTGTTCAAGAAAAGCACCCAAGGATGTACTAATTGTTCATTTTAATAGGACTTAAGTACGTGCCTATTTTTAAATCTATGCTTTAAGAGCTTTCCAGAACAGGGCTGGACTTAAACTTATCATACAAATTCCTCTGCAAATCAGACTTCCAGACAAGAGCGGTGTCAAAAAACAACCGCTTGTAAAAAAGTAATCCCACTGCACAAGAGTATTTCCATTGTTCAGCCCCAGCTAAAGTTTGCACAGATGCTGAATTATTTGATTTCTTTCAAACCCTTTTTTTTTGTTTTGTTTTGTTTTTTGAGCCGTGCCAGCTTGGCACGATCCTTTTTTTTTTGTTTTGTTTTGTTTTTTTGAGCCGTGCCAGCTTGGCACGAACAGCTTCCTGACGCTGCGACACGAGATCCAGCGCTACGGGAATTTCCTTCCCTTACATTCCATGTATTGTGCTGAAAATACTATTAAAAGGCAAAAAGTCAAGTATCGAGTCCATTGGTTCCCAGCTAAAGGAATTCACCGGCCAGGGAACTGCCGTTCTTGCCGATGTCCAAACCACAGTGTTATGCCCCGTTTTTCAGGCTCTTGTGGTTCCCTGTCTTCCCAAGGGTTTCAGCCGGGCTCGTGGCAATCTGGCCACAGGGGTGAGTTAAAAGGCCACTCGTAGATATTTTGGCCCGTGTAAACACAGCTGACATTGTCACCACAGCTGGAAAGAGGGTGCCCGCTGTGGACACCAGTGAGAGTGGGGAGCACCCCTTGGGTGGGAGTTTTGGGGAGGGTGGGGGGTATCTCCATGGCTGAAAAACCTCATCCTGCAAGGTCAAGCCTCCGACCGTGGTGAGTCGCACCGAGGCCACGTATGAGGCTGTGGGTGGGACTGAGAAGAGTTAAAAAAAAAGAGTAAAAAAACTTAAAACGTGGCTAAAACCACCCCTGCCAGCTCCTGCTCGCCCAGTGCTGCAGGCAGTGTGCCCAGTGGCATGGCTGGGGCTTGGGGGGCAGCCCCCGGCGGGGCAGGAGCTGTGGCATGGCAAACACACACCACACACATGGCATGGCACCAACTCACCCTACACATTGTATATGGCATGGCACAAACCCACCCTACACGTTGCATATGGCATGGCACAAACCCACCCTACCTGCCACCTCCTCGGCCACGAGGCAGAGGTTAAGTTTTGATCATGAAAAACATTGCTGAAAAACAGCTAAAAAAAAATAATAGTTTACCTTAAAAACTGTGAAGTGAAAAGGGTTGGCTTTTTTAAAGAAGAGAGTAAAAACAAAAAAAAATAAAGAATAATCCATCCAACAGGTCCTGAGGGACAAACGCAAGGACCTGCAGTACACACTGATGATGTCCTCATTATTCACTGGTTTTAATTCAATGGCCCATCCCTTGCTCCCAACACTGCTGTGGGACAGGACAAGGCTGGCACTGCCATCCTGCCCACCTGCCACAGCTCTGGACCCCCCGAGGGACCACGGGTGGCACTGGTGACACCCCAGGGACACACAGGACAAGCCACCCAGACCGGTTCCAACTTCAAAGCCAGAGCTGGTGAGTCTGCTCTTACACAGACAGCTGGAGAGGAATTTATCTTAATTCCCGCTGGAAGTGACTAAGTGTGTCCACAGAGGGATTAAATATTTATTCGATTTTGTTAAGTGATTAATCCAAACACTCTCTCTCCCTGCTGCAGACAAACCTCAAACAAAAAAAAAAAACAAACAAAAAACCAAACCCAAAACAAAAAGCCCTGACCCCAGGCAGCATTTGCTTTAACAATACTTTTCCCGACCGCTCTGTAACCGACCGAGCATGTAACGAGAGTCTGACTAACCCCAGCCTAAAAACGGGCACAAGGTTTATGACTTCTGGTTCTTGAGGAGCAAAGAGCAATAAAAACGACCTTGACTTTGGAAGAAACAAAGAGCGGGGAAGAGAGAGAGAGAGAGAGAAAGTGTCAGATCCAGCTGAAACTGCCCCGTGCCTCCCCTTATCTCACCACATCCTGAGCGCGTTCAAGTCTTAACGGTGTTTAAAAGGGAAAAGAAAAAAAAACAACCAAAAACCAAGGGAACAGCAGCTATTAATACCCGTGTTTGGGCAGATCTGAGGAAAGGGCTGCCTTCCCAGAAGGTCGCCCACTTTTTCCAAGTAGTGTGGTCAGATAAAAGGCAAAACTTGCGAGCTCAGCCGGGGATGCCCGGCGGGTGGCCGGCAGGGTAACAGTGCCACTTGCTGGTGGCCAGCGTGGCCGAGGACCCCGGGGACAAGGGTGGAGGAAGCAGAAAGGGCTCACCAGACCCAACCACCACCAGCCGCGGCAGGAACGAAGCAACAAAGCTCTGGAGCGAGTGCCACCAGCTTGTCCCCCCCATGCTGCCACCTTGGGGGTCCCGGGACAAGCCGGGGTGACACTTATGGGATGGAAGCAGTCACAGGGAGGCATGGATTGCCACCCCCATCCCCCTGCCGCCGGCTGCTCTGGCCATGACCTCAGCAGGAACGGCATCCGCGGCCCCACGCTGGCTCCGCCGCCGCCGCCTTGGCCCCACGCCGGGGCAGCTCCCGCATGCCTGGCCGCCCCCGCGCCGCCTCGCCCCCGACAGACACGCAGGACGGACGGCACAGGGGCCAGCAGGAGCAGCTCAGGGCTCAGCTCTGGCACCGGTATCCCCCAACACCCCCCCACTTCCCTGTCTGTGGGGAAAATCCCCCGCCATGCCCCAAAGGCTGGGGGTAGATTCAGGAGAACAGCCCGGATGCCCATAGACACCAGCCCCGGGGGAAAATACCCCAAAATCGAGGGCAGCCGGAGTAGGTGGGACTGTTTCAAGCTCTGACAAATCCTCCAGGAAGAAATGAGAAGCAGGAGGGTGCTCCCCTCCCTAGCAGCTACTCCCAGAAATGAGAAAATTAGGTCATTTTTAGGCAGGGAAAAAAAAAAAGAAAAAAAAAAAAAAGGAAAGAAAAAGGTTATTTTAAAACCAGCTCTGTTGTGACTGGCAAAGGGACGTCACTGCTGACTGTGACGCAGCCATGGTCATGGTTTCAACCTCCAGCGGCCACTTGCTGTTGGCACAGCACTGCCTGCTCCCCAGGGCATGGTAAAGCATCCCTGCCTCTGCCACTCCGTGTCACCACAGGGTGGGTTGCAAAGCCTTGGTGCTTGGAGGTGGTGGTCACCAGGTGGCCACGGGGCTAGGATGTGTGGCAGAAAAAAAAAAAAAAGGAAAGAAAAAGGTTATTTTAAAACCAGCTCTGTTGTGACTGGCAAAGGGACGTCACTGCTGACTGTGACGCAGCCATGGTCATGGTTTCAACCTCCAGCGGCCACTTGCTGTTGGCACAGCACTGCCTGCTCCCCAGGGCATGGTAAAGCATCCCTGCCTCTGCCACTCCGTGTCACCACAGGGTGGGTTGCAAAGCCTTGGTGCTTGGAGGTGGTGGTCACCAGGTGGCCACGGGGCTAGGAGCCGAGGGAGTGAGCCAGCACCCACCCCAGGCTGGTGGCCACAGCACGGGGCTGTGCCAAGGACATACATCAATCAACTCATCTTGGGGATCAGTTTGAGATTCCTGCAAGAAACCTGCACAGAAAGGACATGAAGGGGAAGGTGCCGGGGTGGCAGAGGGAGACCGAAGGCTGGAGCCCAGCGCAGCAGCCATGGCTAGGAACTCTGCTGAGGGCCATCTCCTCTGCCGAGGACCATCTCCGGCCCAGAGGGAGAAGAAGAACAAGCAAAAAAATAAACTGGGAAATTGGTCATTTCCCAACCTGGGAGAGCAAAGCATGGGCCAAAGGACGGGAGAGCTGGAATGGGAGAGAGGCGATGGCTGGGCCCATAGGAGAGTGGCTGCCCATGGAGACACAGCCCCATGGTTGAGGGATCCTATGGGGCCAGAACGGGGCTCACCACAGAGCGAGAGCACCACAGCATGGGTGGCAGTGTCCGATGGCACCCTGATGGCACAGCCAGGGAAAAAAAAACCTCCAGAGGGGCCCAAGCGAACGCTCCCGCATGGAGAGATGCTCCCCCTCACGTCCTTCCCTCCATGCAATGACCATCTCCACACACTCCCCACGTGCACACCGGAGAGTGTGACCGCAGGGCCACCAGATCCTCTCCCATACCAGTACACACGGTGCCTGGAGCTTCCTCCGGCCCTTCCCCGTCCTCTCTAGCGCTGGTGGCCCTGAGCCTGGCTGAGGGCAAAGTGGTCGCAGAGCAGGAGCAAGGCATCGAACCGCTGGAGCCGCTGCAGAACCTGGGCCAGGACCGGGATGGTGACCGTGTCTCCCGAGTAGGTGAGGTGAGCCACGAGCTGCTCAAATCCCGAAATTCGTCCCAGCAACTGGGGGGTGACCCCCAGCTCCAGTGCCACGTGGCTGAAGTTCTTCGCGCCGTTCAAGGAAGGGTCCAGCAAGAAGGCAAGGGACTGCACCAAGGAATGGGGCAGCTCTGCTACCGGGAGACCTGGGGGCAGAAACACAGCAAAGCAGGGTTAGAAACCAACCCATCCAGCCAGGATCAGGATAAACGGAGCAGCCAGACTCCATCCCGTGTCCCAGCTGAGCAGGTGAAATGCCACCCTGGCAGGGCAGGTATCTCCTCCAAAAATCACTTTCACAGCACAGCAAATGGAGCTGGCTCAGGCTGGTAACTGGTGACAACTGGGCATCCATCTGCCACCCACCCGCACACCATTCAAGGCACCATCACAGAAAATCTACCCTGTGAACTAGCACCAAAGGCCACGAAAGTCAGGTAAGTCCCTGTGATGACTGGCACCTCCACAGAGCCGTGGTGGGCTTCTGGAGGAGCTCCCCTCCAAGAATCTGCCTCTCTCCGCTACCCCTATACTTGGAGAACAAAGATGAGGCTGGAAAGACACTTACCCTTTGCCGTGCTGCTGACCTGAGTCACGAGGCTCTGGGCATCATCCACCTGGCAAGACAAAAGAGTCCAAGGTTGGTGTCAGTCGGGTGAGAACAGCAACGCCTGCCAGTGCTTCCAAGGCTGTCAGAGGCTCAGAGGAACGGTGCTTCTCCTTCCAGCACTACCATCCCACGGAGCCAAAGACCTCCTCGGGATGCTCCAGGCATCCTCCCAGCAAACTGCTTCCATAAACGGTCACCTGGAGCTAAGCTGTTAAACACATCTCTCTGCCAGACATTTTCTGGGCCTCAGTGATGTTAGTCACTGGGTTCATTAAGAGCTCACCAGAGGGGGAGGAGGAACCAGCTCCCCTCACTGCCAAGTCAGCTTTCTGGAGAGCAAGAGGACACGAACCACTCGAGAGCACACCAGTTAAAGATATGCTTATTCAATAAATTGACTGGTCTTTTGGGTGTTTGAAACCACTCCAGCAGGTCATGTCTCCATGGCTGATGGCCTGTTGAGTGACACATCACTAAACATCTAGCAAACCATTTTTAGTAATTACCAGTTAGTCCCAGATATTAATGAACCTTAGCCTGCACCCCTAACCCATCAGCCAGCCTGGTACCCTGTGCCTGGATGCCCGCTGGCAATTCAGAGGAGCAATGAGGCCGGAGAAACCTACCAGCTGCTCCCCGCTTTCGGCGGTGGGATTTGGGAAGGTGGAGGGCAGGCGCCGGGTCCCCTCCTGCCCTGTGCCACCGCTCTCTGCTGGCATCCTCTGCGCCGCTCGGGTCGCCGTGTCCTCCGGCCGCTCGCCCCCCACAAACTCCGTCTGGCTGGAGAACTTCTGGAGGTCCAGCTCGGTGCACTCCACCGGGGCGTGCGGCCACTTGTGCTGCATCTCAGAGGCGCAGGAGGAGACGGGGGCCAGGGGCTCCGCCGTGCCCGGTTGGCCCTGCCTGGGGTCTGGGGGTGGCAGGACCCCGGCCAGGCGGTCCCCACAGCCCGAGGCTCGGATGAGGGGCTGGCTTTCCAGGAGGCTTCTGCCCAGCTGGGCTTTGGAGGTAGCGTTGACCCCGACGGCCGGTGACAAATCCGTCTCTGGCTGGAGAGAGGGGAGCTGGAGACCCACGGCTTCCCCGTCTGAAATGAACTGCACCGCTTCCATGGGGCCTGGGGACAGAACCCAACACGGCTCAGTGAAGCCCAGGATCTGCCCTGGCCCCACCATCAAACCCACCAACCCAAGGCCTGCCGGCAGAGTGGGGGACACCCTGCCAGAGACCTGACCCCTGTCCCCTGCACCACCCCCGAGCAAAGCCACTTTGTGCCTTCCTGCAAAGTTTTTGAGTGGGGTCAATCCTTCCCCGAGTCACAGGGAGGGCAGGAGGGGGCCGGGGGGTGGAATCAGGAGCCACGCAAACATTTCTGGTACAAGGTCTGCAAGCATTTGTTAGGAGAGGTCCCAAATTTCACATTGGTGGGACTTGGTCACCATCCAGCTCCATCCTTCCTGCCTAAAGGGATCTCAGTAGGTCCTAGATGGTGGTAGTAGGTCCTAGGTCCATGCAAGCTGGAGCCCAGCACCCCCCTCCCACTCCCCCCCAGAGAAAGGGGTGGCAGGAGCAGGTACCTTCTGCCTGCCTGTAGCACGGGCTCAGGTTCTTCACACCCAGGCAGCAGGGACCAGACATCTGCTCCTCACACAGGAATCTGCCAGGCGCCGCCGCAGTCGGGAACATTGCTCGCTGGCCCGAGAAGTTCTGAGTCCTCAGGAAGACTTGGGAGGACAGAAGAGAACCAGTGTGAGCAAAGGCTTGGCTTGCTTCCCCAGCGTGTCCTCAGCCACGCGGTATGTCTGCCGGCGAGGAGCAGGGAGCCAGCAGCTCCCTGGCACGCTGCTGGATGCCAACGTGCCCCAACCCCAGCCATCAAACCTCCTGCCCTCTTCCCTCCCCAGTCCTCCAGGGTCCTGCCCTGCAAAGAGCCGCTCAACCTCAGCCTGACCCCTGAGAAACCTCAGGATGAGAAGATCACCAGTTCTGCCTGGGCAAACGGCATTCTCCTCCTACTAATTATGGTACTAAGGAGGAGGGAGGCTCCTCCATGTCTTTGAGCAGGCAAAGCACAGGAGAGATCCTGCAGATGTTAAAATCAGGATGAGGTGTTTCTTCTATATGCACAGAGGAAGGTTTGGGTCACCGTATGGAGGAGCAACGCTAAGGGCAACGCTCAACACAGTGAGGAGGGGACCATGGGCATGTGTGAACAGCAAAAGGGAGAAGGAAGAGAAGCTCTGCAGGCATCGACTCACCTCGCTGGCACTGGCTCTTCCAAAACCGCTTGCAGTAGATGATGGAGAGGGCCAGAAGCACCAGTACGATGATGACCAGGGCACTGCTGGTCAGTGCAAGAAGGGCTGTGTCCTGAGGCGGTACGGTGGGGACGGCAACCTTCACCAGGTTTGTTCTGGACCGACCTGCAGACACACCAGCCACAAAATGTTGGAGCCCAACCCCGAGGCTTGGACCACCCCCTCCCTGCCCATCCCTCTTCATGTGTAATGACCATGCCTTCTCCAGTAGGTCTGTGGCAACAGTGGCTCGTGTTGTGGCCAGCGGAGTAGGATCAGTGAAAGGATGGTGCACATCTGAGTGCACGCCTTTGACATGGTCACAGTGACTTCCCACGTACCACAGACCTGCTCCACCACGTCCTCCCCACCCGCCCTGCCCCAGAGACACCTCGATTCCCCACTGGCGAGGGACGGCACGTACACTGAGGCTCGGAGGAGGGTGTCTGCTTGGTGCAAGGGATGCACTCCCAGTCCAGCTGCCCGCTGATCCGCGCCTTGCGGTAAAACCTGCAGACAGAGCAGAGGGTCTCAGCGGCGCACAGCCCCACAGCAAGCCCCCGAGACATGGATGGTTTGTCCACCCCGTGGCAGCGGGGGAAAGCCAAACCCCTGTCCCGAGACACCCCACGGCAGCAGGTCTCTCCATCACCAGCTGAAGTCCTACCCACAGCTACTTTTTCACATCTCTCCCCACTTTGGCCAAGGTCAAATTGCCTCCCTCCCTCCCCACGTCTGCTAAATTGGGCAATAGGGATCCATAGCTCCATGAAGCTACAGAAACAGCCCAGCCTACAAATGCACCTGGGAAGAGGCTCATAAGCCAACACCTCGACTCGTTCCTCTGTCCCAAGTCTTACTGGTCGCCAGCACATGGTCTGCAGCCTGTGGGGACCACCAGTTGTAGTGGCCTACAGCCACTCATTTTCCAGGGCTTAGCCAGCCTGGTGTCCACAAGAACAACTCAGGCCTGGAAGGAGTTTTCTTCCACTGCTTGTTCATGAGAGCTTTCAGGTTCCCTTCTTTAGAGCTACAAGGGGGCCATCAGGTGGGTGTGATTCACGTGTCATTATCAGTGTCCTCCTCTTATGTCCCATATTCTGGGTGGCCTCAGATAAAGACCCCCTGTCCATCCCATCCCTGCATGCTCCCAGGTATGATGACCACAGTTCTGCTCAATCCAGGATCCAGCCCCACTCACCCCGGCAGACACTCCCCACAGACCGCGTTGGTGGTCGCCGTGCAGTTGGACTTCTGGATGCGGTTGATGAGGGTGCAGGACAGGCAGGGCTTGCAGCCATGATGCCCCCAGCTGTCCTTAAACTTCCTGGGAGGGCAGGCCACGCACTGCGCGTCCCCCCCGCTGCCATCACCACAGTCCTGCAAGACACGAGGTCGGGTGGGTGCACAGCTACGGTGAGGAGCCACTTCAGGTCCAAAAGTGGTACCGCAGGGAACTGGGTCCCTTCTTTGGGACAAAGAGTGGAGGAGTTACCACTCACAGGTCCTCAGAATCCAACCAAGAGCAGACACCACCACAGCAGCTCCAATGGAGACACACTGGGAAGCTGTTTGCTGCCTAGCTGAGGCCCACCAGCTGTGTTTAGGGAGGTGGAAAGCTCCAGCAGCAACGTGGCCCAGGAGGAGCCACAGGTAGCGACAACCTGCAGGGTGCCTGGGTGGGAAGCACCCACCACTTCCCACCACCAAGGCTGGCCCACATCCCTCTGCAGCCACATCCTGCTTACGCCTATCCAATGTGCAGCCCAGTGGAGCAGTGCAGCTTCACCTGGTGCTTCAGACCAGGAGGAGATTCAGATTTCCATCAGCAAAAAGGAAAGAGGGCACCCTGAGCTGCAACCTGAAATCCCTTCCCACCCGCTACTCCTCTCCAAGGTGAGAAAAACTCTTCTTGGTCCCTTCCCACCGAGCCCCAGCTCTTCCCAAGATGCTGGGACCTAAGTTTATCCTTCCAAAGGAAGGCTGGCAGAGGATTCCTCTACCACTGTAAAAGCCTCGTGATGATTCCCGGCCCTTCCAGAGCAGCTGATTTACCTTGGAAAGCTCTTGTCCGGGCATGCAGTTTCTGCAGGGGACACATTTCCCGTGCTCATCCCGGTACTCGCTCTCCTGGCAGTTCATCTGGGCTGGAGAGGGGCCGGGAGCCTGAGGAGGAGAGGGAAGAGAAGGCAGAGAAGTCACAACCAGCCCCAACACTTTTTAAGATGAGCAGCGTGCCCTTTGCTGGGCAGAAGTTTCTACTCTGGCCAGGATGGCCATCTGCATTTCTCCTGCATCACGGATGTCACTGCGGCAGGAGGAGGCTGCTCCAGCAGCTCAGGAACCTGGTTCTGCTGCCACATCCCAACCTTTGCGCACCTGGTGCTTCAGACCAGGAGGAGATTCAGATTTCCATCAGCAAAAAGGAAAGAGGGCACCCTGAGCTGCAACCTGAAATCCCTTCCCACCCGCTACTCCTCTCCAAGGTGAGAAAAACTCTTCTTGGTCCCTTCCCACCGAGCCCCAGCTCTTCCCAAGATGCTGGGACCTAAGTTTATCCTTCCAAAGGAAGGCTGGCAGAGGATTCCTCTACCACTGTAAAAGCCTCGTGATGATTCCCGGCCCTTCCAGAGCAGCTGATTTACCTTGGAAAGCTCTTGTCCGGGCATGCAGTTTCTGCAGGGGACACATTTCCCGTGCTCATCCCGGTACTCGCTCTCCTGGCAGTTCATCTGGGCTGGAGAGGGGCCGGGAGCCTGAGGAGGAGAGGGAAGAGAAGGCAGAGAAGTCACAACCAGCCCCAACACTTTTTAAGATGAGCAGCGTGCCCTTTGCTGGGCAGAAGTTTCTACTCTGGCCAGGATGGCCATCTGCATTTCTCCTGCATCACGGATGTCACTGCGGCAGGGGGAGGCTGCTCCAGCAGCTCAGGAACCTGGTTCTGCTGCCACATCCCAGCCTTCACGATGGAGCGAGTGAAATCTCATTTCCAGGATTGAGGTAGACCCACCCTTCACTCAGGCCACCAATTTGCAGGAGGTCAGTGGACTTTGCCAGCCCTGGCTGTAGGTCTGGGCATCCCAGACTGTTAGTTGAGAGCAGTACCAGCAAAGTCCCAGTTTTGGGGCCCAGCAGCCCAGCTCTGGATGATATTGGCCTGATATGACCGAAAGCTGGTGCCTGGCAGAAGAGGACACCCACCTGCAGCCCTGCTGTGCCAGCCTGGAGCTGTGCAGGTTGCCCAGGCTCTTGCTCCACACACGTTCCAGCTCAGTGTGGGCTGAAGACCAGCAGTAAAGAACCCACCTCCCTCAAAAACACCACCCAGAGCTTTCCTCAGGTGAATTAATGGCTCTACTGAGGTTAATGCCAGAAGTGTCCCAGCCACAGTGGAGCCACAGTCCGCACCTTCATCATGGAACATGGGACCAGCATCTCACCAAGAACAAGCAACTCAGACTGAAGCTACAAAAGTGAGCAATTTATTTGGAGTTTTGTGGCCATCTGTTCATTTCTGCATGTTCTAGGTGGGTTCTTACCCTGATGACAGAAACAGAATAAAATCCATTACCACTACACCAATCTTCATTTTGCTTTCCCCACAACCTTGTGCAGCAAATCAGGAGAGAAAGTGTGTTCAAGCAGCCTTGGGAACAAAACTCTTTAACTTCTAAACACCCACCAGGAACAGGGAACGCCTGAAAACGCTCTTTTGAAGACCACCACCCAGAACCACCTGGGAAAACCTGGCGTTTCAGCCGGAGCCATCCTGCTCCACAGCCTCGGGAGGAGGAGAGGGTCATTGGGGATGTCCCCTGCAAGGTTCTAGTAGAAGAGGGGAGAGGACTTCAGGACCCCCAGGCACCTCCTTTCCCCTCCCATCCCTACCATCCCCGGGCACTGACGGTCCCACAGCAGCATTCCTCCGCAGGCTTTTTCTGAGCTCCTCTGCTTAATCCCCCACCACTCCCTTGGCTGCCTTTTGGAAGCAGACACTTGGACGGGCTCCCCGGGCTCTGAACGACCGAGATTCATTCGAGATGAAGTCTGCCCCGGACGAGCATAGAACGTGAGTCACCCCTCGCCGCAGCTCCCCCGCGCACACGGGAGCCGTGACAAGGAAAATCAGTGCAAGCCAGTGAGGGCCAGGGATGAGAAGCTAAAGGGAGCTAAATTTATCTGGCAAAGATCTCGGGAGGGGCACGATCACCTCCTATAAATAGCGAAAAAAGGTTACTGACACTACCGAATAAATAAAGGAGATTTGTCACCATCTCAGAAGGTGGCGAAGAAGGAGCCCGGTGCCAAAGGTCAGGGAGAAGCACAGGGTTTAGGGTTAGGGTTCAGCTACAGGTTGCAAAAAAAAAAGATAGAGGGGGGTAGGCAGGCTCCAGAGGGGTGACACAGAACCACCTTGGAAGGCTGGGATGCTAATGGCCTGCACCCAACATCTCGGTGAGGTCTGAGCCCACACCCTGGGTCACCCCCACCCGAGGGGTGCCTCTTCCCAGTGCAGTGGGGTCAGCGCTGCTGATGCTCTGGTCCAGAATGAGGAGTCTGATTCAGGCTTTCACTCCTAACAAGAGCCCAAAGATGTATGAAACAGAGCTTCAGGCAACAGAAACGGAGCCAAGACGCCAGAGCCTGGAGAACAAGGGGACCGATTGCATCGGCTCTCCAAAGCACTGTTGTAAAACAAGAAATACTAGTGGGGAAAAAAAAAAAGAGAAAAAGGAAACCCACCAAAAAAAGCCAAACCAGCAATCTTTTTCGCTGCAACCATCCTGCGAACGCAGCATGACTGCTTTCTTTCATACATTTACGGATTTCTCTGCCCTTGGGAAGGGTCCGTGGCTAGGGATGCACCTCCCCAGAAGGGAGCTCAAAGCAGCTTCCCCCGTGGAGGAAGAGGCAGGGGCAGGAGGAATCCCTCGTGCCAGGCTGGCTGCCAGCGTGACGGCACCAGGCAGGGGGGGTGGCAGGGAGACGGCGCACGGCGGGCGCGCCAGCGGAGCTATTAAGCCTTAGAGAACAAGCCTGCTCTTTCTCAAGCCACAACATAAAGATACACGTAGTGAACGCTTTGTTGAGTATCTGGCACGAAATTCAAAGCTGTGAGAGCTGGTGTTTGGTTTTTTTTGGTTTTTGTATTTTTTTTACTTCTTATTTTAACAATACCAGAACCAAGATGTTTAATTTGAGAAAGGAGGATATGTCCAAACCACGTAGCGCTGCCCTGGTAGAGCAGCAATCTCTGATAGTCTAATAAGGCACTAAAACAACTGGTCCTCATTAGCTGAAAGTGGAAAAAATAAAACAACAACAAAAACAAACAACAAAACCCTCCCACCTCTTTGGAAACTGGATGGGAGCTCAAGGTGACTGCCAGAGCAACAGATTTTATTTGCTGAAGAGGAATATAAACATGCCACAGTATCAACACATTTACAACTTGTAAGGGTAGCGGAACATACTGCCATCCTTTTGAGAGGCGTGAAATCTAACTTAAAAACATCATAATTTGTGAAGAGACTCTTTTACTGTCTTAATGGGACAGCCTGCCCGAGCGAGGCGAGCAGAGTGTGCTCCCCCCCTACTGTGTTATTGCTCAAGAAGAGCAAAAACACGAGCTGCTGAATGAGTTTCACTGCGTGAGACAAAAGGCACTTCAGCAAAGCTACAGTGGAAGTTGCAATTCATTCACCTCCCTGACAGTTCTGCAGCTCTGGCATGTTCTTTTCCCAGTGAAAATGTGATTTTCGAAAAAATTAGGCTGGCTGGGAATCTGAGCTATTTAGAAATTTCTTCTGTGTCCACCTAATGGATTACAGAATCACAGAATGGTTGGAAGGGACCTCTGGAGATCATCTAGTCCAACCCCCCTGCCAAAGCAGGTCCAACCAGAGCAGGTTGCACAGGAACGTGGCCAGGTGGGTTTTGAATGTCTCCAGAGATGGAGGCTCCACCACCTCCCTGGGCAGCCTGTTCCAGGGCTCTGCCACCCTCAAAGGAAAGACTACTCTGGCTGTGGTGCAGTCACGGAATCACGGAATTGTCAGTCAGAGATCATCTAGTCCAACCCCCCTGCCAAAGCAGGTCCAACCAGAGCAGGTTGCACAGGAACGTGGCCAGGTGGGTTTTGAATGTCTCCAGAGATGGAGGCTCCACCACCTCCCTGGGCAGCCTGTTCCAGGGCTCTGCCACCATCAAAGTAAAGAAGTTCCTCCTCATGATTCCGGTAGGAAAAAAGAGAGTGAGGAAATCAATCAGTGAAAGGGTATCCAAAAAAATCATCAGTCAAAGTGTCAGCACTTCTGGTTCTTCCCATCTGACCATGGCCCAGCGGGTACTGGGGGGACAGGTGGGACATGGGCTGGGCTGGCCCCTGCCCCAGGTGCAGACCCCATGGGTCACTGCTCACCTGGGACAGAGGGGTGCTGAGACCCACCTTCAGGGGGGCTCTTCCCCGTCACCGCATGAGGCAGTGGGACATCACAGCAGGATTCTGCTCTGCTGCACGAGAGACTGGCACAGCCAGGCAGCCAGACTTGTATATACTGGAACATAAAACTAGAGAGCTGAAAGCCTAAATCAGAACTGCAAGTGAAAAGGAGAGGGAGGGGAGAAAAAAAAATGAAATGTTATCTGGAAAATATTACTGCATGCCTTGTGTATGGCAGTGTCTAGTCCCAGTCTCTTGCTCAGTCATTCCTCTGCTCCTACTCATTAGTCTGTGCTCGTTTGGTCTGGACAGCATCTCTCTGCACCTCCCTACACTACAGACCACGGGAGTGACTCTGCCACCCCTTAAGGATGGCCCTGCAGACAAAGGACTGACTGCTCAGGGAAGCAAAAATAGGTGGAGGGGGGAAAAAAAGGCTGAATCTGATTCTTTCCACGTGGCTCGGAAATCAGCAGGTTTTCCAATAGATTTGGAAATTCTGCTCACAAGACTGTCCACTAATTGTTTACTTTGGAGTGGCTGGAAACTTGTGTTTGCTTTGGGTGAAAGCTGCCCAAGCTCAGGCTGGTGACATCTCCCTTCACTGCACCCCACCAGCCCCCAGGTTGAAACATTCCCTTTTTTACTCACTCTTCTCTACCTGCAGAGGAAGGCACCTGAAACATGACCAAAAACCCCTCCAATCTAGGGCAGAATGTTTTCTGGGCTCTTGGTTTT